GTCGTAGTAGTAGTAGTTGCCGACGTTCGTCGTCCCGAAGTAGTATAGTAGAAGTAGTAGTATAGCAGCAGCAGCAGCAGCAGCAGTAGTAGTAGTAGTAGTAGCAGTAAGTATTAGTAGTAACTATAGTAGTAAGTAAGAATTAGTACACAAAGTAGTTAGTAGTAAATAGGTAGTAGTAGTGGAAGTGTAGTGTAAAGTAGTAGTGGAATATAACAGTAAGTATAGTAGTAGTAGTAGTATAGTAGCAGTAAGCATAGCAGTAATCAGCAGCCGTCAAGCAGTAGCATAAAGTAGTAGTAGTAGTAGTAGTAAGTTCGTGAAGTAGTAAGTCGTATTAGTAGTAGTAAGTAGTAAGTAGCAGTAGCATTACAGTAGCAGTAGCAGTACCAGTAGTAGTAATTAGTAGTTAGTAGTAGCAGTAGAAGTAGTAGTATAAGTAGTAGTAGTAGTAGTAGTAGTAGTAGTAGAAGTAGTAGCAGTAGTAGTAGTAGTAGTAGTAGTAATGGTTGTAGTTGTGGTAGTGGTAGTCGTAGTGGTAGTAGTAACAGTAGTAGTAGTAGCAGTAGCAGTAGCAGTAGCAGTAGCAGTAGCAGTAGCAGTACCAGTAGCAGTAGCAGTAGTAGTAGTAGTAGCAGTAGGAGTAGTAGTAGTAGTAGTAGTAGTAGTAGTAGTAGTAGTGGTAGTAGTAGTAGTAGTAGTAGTAGAAGTAGTAGTAGTAGTAGTAGTAGTAATGGTAGTAGTTGTGGTAGTGGTAGTGGTAGTAGTAGTGGTATAGTAACAGTAGTAGTAGTGGCAGTAGCAGTAGCAGTAGCAGTAGCAGTAGCAGTAGCAGTATAGTAGTAGTAGTAGTAGTAGTAGTAGTAGTAGCAGTAGGAGTAGTAGTAGTATTGCTCATACTAGTCTACTGCATAACAAATTCGTAGTACTCGTATTATTCGGATTAGTATGAATACTGTTGATGTTGTTATTCGTATTCTTCTCATTCCCAACCATCCTGTGGTGTTGGGTTCTCGTTTTGAAGAGACAGTCCCCACCGCGTTCCCTCCTTCCTTCCTCCCTGCTCCCTCCCCCTCCACCCTCCTCCCTGCGTTTCACCCACCCAGTACAGCGTTTCGTGGCCCCAATAGGATGCTCCACCGACGGCGTCAGTGCTACCGCCCGCATGCGTCCCGGAAACCCAACTTGGCAGTTTCGCCCACCCAGTACAACGCTTCGTGGACCCATACGGAGCTCCACCGAAGCCCAGTGGGACCGCCCGCATGCGTCCCGGAAGCCCAACCTGGCATTTTCACCCACCCACTACAGCGCTTCGTGGCCCCATAGGGAGCTCCACCGAAGCCCCCAATGGGACCGCCCGCATGCGTCACGGAAACCCACTTTGGCATTTTCACCCACCCAGTACAGGGCTTCGTGGCCCCAGCGAGCTCCATAGTACAGCGCTTCGTGGCCCCATAGGGAGCTCCACCGAAGCCCCCAATGGGACCGCCCGCATGCGTCCTGGAAGCCCAATCTGGCATTTTCACCCACCCACTACAGCGCTGCGTGGCCCCATGGGGAGCTCCACCGAAGCCCACAGTGGGACACCCCGCATGCGTCCTGGAAACCAAATTTCGCTTTTTCATCCACCCAGTACAGCGCTTCGTGGCCCCTTAGGGAGCTCCACCGAAGCCCCCAATGGGACCGCCCGCATGCGTCCCACACACACACACACACACACACACACACACACACACACACACACACACTTTAGCATTTTCACCCACCCAGTACAGCGCTTCGTGGCCCCTTAGGGAGCTCCACCGAAGCCCCCAGTGGGACCGCCCGCATACGTCCCAGAAACCAAATGTTGCATTTTCACACACCCAGTACAACGCTTCGTGGCCCTACAGAAGCTCCACCGACGGCCCCAGTGCTACCGCCCGCATGCGTTCCCCCCCACCCAGTGCAGCGCGTCGTGGCCCCATAGGGAGCTTCACCGAAGCAGATATTCACAATTGCGGTGCCCACAACTGCATATGGCTGGGTCCTTCGCCAGGATAATAATTTGTTTTCTTCTTCGTATGCGTTTCCCTTCTCCTTCCCCTCCTCCTCCTCCTCTTCTTCAACCTGGTCGTCCTCACTCTCCTCCCTCTCCTGCGGTTTCCTTTTGATGTTCCAAGTGTTTTCCAATTGGGGGCCACAACGGGTGGGGAACCACACAGTCCAATAGCTTGGCCAGACTTCGGCCCAACGCTTGGCCGCATGAGCGTTTCCCAAAAGGCAGAGGGCGGCGGTGATTCGCTGTAGGCGTCTTCGATTTTGCAAACGGATCTCGCACCGTGGGATACTTTCTGTAAGCCATGGGGCCCGAAGGGGGCACCAAAAGGATTCTCAACCTCGAACGCCTGCGCTGACGTCGCCGCCCCATCGAAGCGGCAAAGAGTCCACCGTGTCCATCATTCATGTGCCTGCAGGAGAGCCCAGACTGGAATCCATGAGTCGGATCGGCGATCGAAACGGGTCGGATCAGCAGAAATCGGCAGCCAATTCGGGAAAAGCCGAATCGGCCGAAATCGGCAAGCTAGTAAGGCCTACGAAGACAATCTGAGTCCAAATCGGAACCCCAAGTCAAACCGAATCGGAAATGGAATCGATCGAAAGCGAATCCAGCCGAGTCTGAGGAGTCGACTTGAGCCCTGGTCATGTGACTGGAGCCATTCGGCATGTCGCTTGCTCGCTCTTGCGGGCTGCTCTGGTGGCCCCAGCCTGGGCGCGCGCTAGTGGGGCTTCGCCCCAATGCAAGACCGCACCGGCGCCACGGGTGAGCCGATGCCTCACCCGCCCCAGAGGAGGCAAGACACGCGGCGGGCGAGGAGGGGGAGAGGCAAGAGGAGGGACAGCAGCCAGGCCTCGAGCTGAACAGTGTGCTTCGTGTTCGTTGTGTCTTCGTTGCCCCTCGTTCTGTCTTCGTTCCGCCGTGGCTGCAAAATTAGAAGCCAAAAAGAAAGCGGCCCAAGAGATCGCCCAAACACCGCTTAGCCCGCGCCCTGAAAGGAGCAACATCTGCGCCCCTTCACAGAATAGGATCACGCACGGGAGCGGGGCGGACGAGGGTCACGTGGAGTGGCACGCGGAGGGGCCAGCGGAGGGGAGGAAGGAGGACGCACTGCGGCTGAGCGCGGCCATCTCCGATCAGGGCACGCGGCAAGGATATACACACGACCACTGGTGGGCAGCGGGCACACAGCCTCTCAAACGACGCAGAGATCCCCATATGCGCATCTCGTCACTCCTGTCACACATCTCGCTGAGACACTCTGTCTGTGAACGTCTGTGTGGGAGGGCGAGGACGCGTAGGCGGCAGGCGCGAAAACGACGACTTCATGGACGTCTTCCTCCTCTGCACTGCTAGGAGAGATGAGGAAAACGCCCGTGGAAGAACAAGGATGGATTCTTCTTGCCTCCCTCACTGCGGCAACTCAGGCAAACGCGCATGGCGTTGCTACACCCGCTCTTTGGCGTGCTACTGGCGGCGCCTGCTGGCATTCGGGGTGCCCACATGCCACGCCAGCTAGGTCGCGGTAACTAGCTGCGTGTGATGTGAGCTCAAGTGCGAGCGAATTTGACTGTGAGTGATCTCGGTGTGAGCGAGCGGGAGGGCGGGCGAATCTGGGTATGGTTGAGTCTGACTGCGAGCGAGTCTGAGTGCGAGTGAGTCTGGTGCGAGTGGGTCTGAGTGTGGGTGAGTCTGAGTGTGGGTGTGATGAAGCGGATCTGAATCTGAGTGAGTGTGGGAATGGGCGTGTCCGAACCTTACCGAGTCTGAGTGTGAGTTAGTTTGGGCGCGAATGACGAGTTGTGTGAGTACGCGTGTGAGTGAGGTCGTCGAATGAGCACGTCTGAGACAGTATGGATGAGTCTGAGTATGGGCGAGTCTGAATGTGAGCGGGCCTGAATGAGGAAGAAGTGCGAATGCGTAAATCCGAATGTGAATGAACGCGTCTGAGTGAGAA